TTTCTCTAAAGGTGTTTTATGCGGTGGTGTAATTTTATAATAAAGACTGAAACTGAGGTGAAGACAGACAAAATGCAACATACAACAAACAAGAGCACTATCGCTAAGTTTGACAAGCGAGCAGCAGAAAATAACACTGCATATTACATTTAACAGTCTTTGGGGACGCCACTGCTGTTCCTGTTTTCGTTGAGGTGCACAGCCATGTGTCACAATATCACCTCATTCCCTATGAAAACAAACAAGTGCCACACTGTCACTTCCCCTCTTGCACCATGAACCCCTACTGGCATCCTGTGTCAGAGTGATAAGCAATCCCCTGATACCTCCCAGGCCCTCTCAGAACAAAAGAACCACAGGAAGAGGTCAGGCACTTGCCACATAAGCCTGCCAAGAAATTACAGTGCTCCATATGTTTCAGGTTGAGTCTAACTCAAAACAAATCCCCCAGCTGCACTCTACAATTGCATACAATTAGGAGAAGTACAACTCACTTATAGATTGGTGTTATTTGGCTTAGGTAATGATGACATACCTACATGCTGTCAAATATTTTCAGTCTGATTATCATTCATCAGTACTTGCACTGACCTGCTGATTACAATGTTTGTTGTCAGTGTGCTCACAAGCAAGTCAAAGCTGTCTCACCTCAGAGAGAGCAGTTGTCTATCTCTGCTATTAGTCTGATATATTATGCTTTATAGGTTGTAGAATTACAAAGAGGGTATTCAACCAGAGTCTGAGGGGATGGGTCTATCGCTTGCCAGGGTCAACCAGAGCCAGGCTGTTATTTACTTAATTAGAAGTCCAGTGGTAAAAGACAAACCTGGGTCCTCAGAATAAAACCTTGTCAACAGTGGTGGTTACATTGTGGTCATATCATGAAAGGCCTCCTTTTCTTCAAAACAATCAGATCATCTGCTTTAGCCACATTTATTTACTTTGCCTTGCTGCTAAAATTATTACACACTAACATTAGAAGAAGAAGGAAAAAAACACAGAAAAGAAGTTTAAACAATGAACGTTGGTTTTATGACCTGGCCCTCCCACTCAACCTCATGAATGTAGCAAACACAAGTTACACATGTGGGCAGAGAGATGAAGTGGTGATATGAAGCAGAGGTGGGGTGGTGCCACATTTGAAGAGCAAACTTCACTCTAGCCAAACAACAGCCTGTTGAACATTAATCTGCCTCAGTCTGAAGACAAACACCCCCAGCTGTGCCTGCAGACTCTACTGTATGTATTCCCGACATGTTCAGTCCAACGCAAGGCTGTTACTGTATCACAAATCATCAGGGCGAACCAAGAACAGATTAATAAAAGTCAGAGCAAATAGAGGGCAACACAAAACAGCTGTTTGTGCCTGCATGAACCCATCAACAATAGCTTATGAATCCTGAGAAGCCAGTTTCTTTTTTGGTTTAATATAAAATCTGAAACTGAACCCTGTCCAAAGTAAACCAGTGCCAAGGTCTTTCCACAACAGAAATAAGACAGATGTTGGATCTTGAGTTTGTACACTGGCAGATCAGCTGAGGTTCTGAGGAAAAAAGAGCCACACTTGTCAAACCGGTGAAAGGGAAAGTTGCATTTTTAACCGAATGGCTACCTCAAAGTCACCGAGGTCAGGTAATATTACTAAAAGCAACACATCGCCAAATAGTTACAACTAAGCCCCATAAGCTAAGTCCAGCAATAAACTTTCAGTGACTCTTTCAAAAATAGTAGTAACATGATTGAAGTTTCTGATATTATCTTTCTGATATTATGCTATACAAAATACTGTTATGTGCCGTTCGCACCTGTCAGGTCACAAGAAAGAGGCGGACCCAGGTAGCCGACTTCGATGCAAGCAGTGATTTATTATGTACAGTGAAGATGAGAGTAAAAATGCACAGAGGGAAATAGTGCGTAGTCCTGTCGATGAGTAGTAGCTGGGTGTTTGACCAACAGCAGGAGGCGAGGAGATGGAGAGGTGGGGGCCCTGGCAAGGGGGCAGAGGCAGGGGGGGGGGGGGGGGCACAAAACAGTAGCTGGCTAGGGGATAAATACATACAAAAAAAACAAAAGAGCACAGAGAAAAAAAAAAAAGGCCTAGAGACTAGAAAGAACTGGCAAGTGACTGAGGAGTGAAACCGGGTAATATAGTGAGCAACCTAATCAAGTGCAGCTGGTGATAAGGGAGTGAGGAACAGGTGAACGTGATTAGTGTTAATAGGCAAGAGACAGTAGGAAAGGTGAGGGAGGCCAGAGCGGCCGAGCAAACCTGACAAATACATCACATTTGACTTGACCTTGGAAACAGCAGTTGACAACACATACTCACCTCAGTGTTTGGTTTATGCAAGGGGTAAAGGCGCAGGAGACAGGGAATGACGTGGCCATGTAGCCAGTTTGTAATTGGGTCATAAATTACCAAGCCTCTTGCTATTCCTTGAAACTGTCTGACGATTCTGCCATTGGCTCTTCATGACAAAAATCCTCGAATCTCATTGTGTTTCCAGTTAGACACTTTCGTTGGTCGTGTGAATACTCCAGACTATACACTGCTGTATTCTCACATTGGCTCACGCCAGCTCTCTCAGACTTTGTACTAGGTAGCTTTCAGAGTAAAGTCTGCTTAAGGTCCAGGTCAGCCCACTTGGACCTTTGTGTTCTCACATACAGCTCCTCTGAGTAATCGCTAGAGAATTTCATGGTTCCAGTACATGTCTGAAAAGGGTTTTATTCACACACTGAGCAAACAGAAAAACATTAGCATATGTTTGGACTATATTCACAATATTCATTCTCCTTTTAGCTCTGTTCTGGCCTCCACTAAATAAAATATCTGGCCCTTTGTTGACTAAGTGCTCCACTAGCTAGCTGTTAACTTTTTCTGTAGGCTGTGTGGTGTTTAGCAGGTAGCATACATTGGGCTTATTTGAGATTTTTTTGCTGAATTGGCTGCCTGCTGTGTCTGGTGCTAATGAGAGCAGTGAAACTGTTGTGGGCTGTAAAACCAAAATGAGGAGCTGAGAAGAACTGCAGAGTTGGGTGATAATTACATGGGGGTTCATCACTATTGAATATAAATTGAATATAAGGCTAGAGCCCATGATGCAACAACTTCCTGGGCCCTTGCTGGTAAACCCAGATATGGGCCTATATTTGACCTTATAAACCGTACAAGTGCAGAATATAAGTATGCTATAAGATTTATTATGAAAAATGAACAAAAGCAGAGGTCTGCCTATATGGCTGAAAAACTCCTAAGGAATAATACGAAATCATTCTGGAAAGATGCTAAACAGCTTAACAGCAGTAGATTTTCTCTACCCCATACTATTGATGGAGTTTCTGGCCCAGATAAGATAGTTGAGCTTTGGTGATACTGCGACTGCAATCTATTTAATTGTGTCCCTAGTGAAACTTTCTCTATAGGTAGGGTTGACTTTGTTGACTCTATTAAAACATATGAGGGTTCTCAAGCAACAAGCAATTTGTCAGCAAATAAGTCTTCTGGGATGGACCGCATTTCTATAGAACATCTTAAATATGCTAGTTTGAGGTTGGCACCTCTTTTAGCTATATGCTTTACTTCTTTTGTTATACATGGGTTTATGCCTGACTCTTTGATGTCAGTGCTGGTGCAGTCCTGGTGGTGAAGGATAAAGCAGGAAAGGTGGGTATCTCAGATAATCTTATGGTTTAGTCCCCCTTGCCAGGAGGGTGAGGGAGAACTGAGGTAGGACTCAAGATTGCTGACCCAGGTGCTAGTAAAAATGGTGGTTTAATAGTGGGAATCACAAAAAGAAACAGTCAATGAACACATACAACCAGGGCTGGGCAAAGACGGCTAAGGAGACCTGGGCCCGTATTCACAAAGCATCTTAGAATTCTCTCAGAGAGCTCCTATCTTAGCCTAAAAAGTCCTAGCTGGGAGTCCTAGACTAAAAGTGATTTAGGAAACTTCTCAGAGCAACTCTGAGCAAGGAAAGTACA